TGTTAAAATATTATTATATAATAGAGTATGTGCAGACGTGTGCTCGATTTTTTCCAATTGAATAAACATATAACTTTCTTGAAATTTTGAATTTACAATATTTTGAGGTCATATTTAATGTATGACATCACATCAGACGAAAATAGTTGATGCTTATATGTCTGTATATGTTCTCCAAGCTCAGAACATGATTAAAGATATCGTTTTCATAATTTGCATTGAATACTCGTAGTGGACAAGTATTACAGGATACAGTGACTGTCCGTTGAAGTAGCATTCATAAGATCTATTATTTAGCCTGCAAGATATCCTATAACTATTTGAATTATTTCATTTAAATCAGACATCAATTTTGTGCAGTACGTTATATTTAGGATGAAATTCATTTTTTCCTTGTCTGTCCTCATCTTAATGTACAAAGACTTGAACTCATAAATGTTTGTAAAATTAAATGTAAAATTGTTCAGTCTCAATCTTATGATAATCAATTTGATTGGCTCTTGACTAATGAAGACCCTTACATCCTTATGCATTAGATCACTTGCTAGATTCCTTCGTAATCTACTTTAATTAAAGATATTTTGATATGCATATATGTACTTTTTTCCCAGTTGCTTACCCCTGACTACATGTATAATACAATTATAACATATATACAGTACATGTATGCATATTCAGCATAACTCTTATATTCGTTTTTATCAACTGCTCTGAGTCTCATTATATGTAAGATCATCTTTGTTCTATCAATTGGATTCTCCTCCTTCTTTTGTTTGTAAATCTGTTTTTTCACCTACAGTAGCCCAAACTGGACTGATAAAATTTTGTATCTGGTATAAATCTGATGTTACAAGTCGTTCGAATTTTGTTAAATTTTTCTCTTTGATTAAATCAAGTCGTCTAAGCGATGTCTTCATATACTAGACTAGTATGTGATATTGCATTAATGTCTGCGATATTTAATTTAAGCGGCATAATGTTTACACATTATTTTATATGCGACATTTAGGAATTCAACTTGGATATATCAAAGTGTATAAGTCGTTTAAAACATATCAGAAAAGTATTATTCACCAGAGATTGTCGTCATAATTAAATCGCCAAAGCTAAAAGTTATTTTATTTGACAACATTTTTATATCATAATATTGCGTTCTAATACAACAACACGAGGCGGTTATACGTTTCCGTAGTGACATCGATGCAATGCAATACGTTATATTAATAAATCTGATGTTACAAGTCGTTCGCCTTTTGCTGATTTTCCTCTTTGATTAAATCTTGTCGTCTTCGCGAAGTCTTCATATATGTTATATTGCACTAATGTCTGCAATATTTAATTTTAGCGGCTTAATTTTTACAAATTATTTAAGTGCGACATTTAGTAATTCAACTTGGATATATCAAAGTGTATAAGTCGTCTAAAACATAGCAGAAAAGTATTATTCATCAGAGATTGTTGTCATAATTATATCGCCAAACCTTGGAGTAATTGTATTTGACAACATTTTTATATCATACTATCGCGTTCTAAAACAACAACACGAGGCGGTTATACGTTTCCGTAAATTCGAGTTAAATTCTGACGCATGCGTAATGGCAAAATTTAGTCAGATACCATTTGTCGATGGTCAGCTATAGGTACTTGTGCTATTTTTGAGTGAAAAACTAAGGAAAATTTTGTTAATCATTAAAATGTGTGTATAGACACAGTGACATTATGTCAGATGGATCTGCTCTGCAGAAGGTGACGTGATTTGCAAATGACGTCATAATAGCCGTGGTGACGCTGGGCTGCAGAAGTAAAATTTTCATTTGCATTAGTTGACTTCGCATTAGCTGTCGTGGGAACGCAATTTATGCCCTGTTCACACGACGAGTTTAATTCGCAGTAAATTAATGCGAAGTAAACTAATGCGAATCAAAATAATGCGAATTAAATTGCGTTCACATGACAGCTAATGCGAAGTAAACTAATGCGAATTAAAATTCTACTTCTACGGCCAGGCGTCAGTAAGGCTATTATGATGTCATTTGCAAACCATGTCACCGTATGCAGGAGCAGATGCATTTGACATAATGTTAGTGTCTGTACACACATTTTAGTGATTAACACAATTTTCCTAAGTTTTTCACTCAAAAATAGCACAAATACTACAAGCTGACCACGGACATGTGGCATTTGACCTAATTTTGCCATTACGCATGCCTCAAAATTTAATTCGAATTAGCTTCGCTTTGCATTCACACGGGGCTAATGTGAAGTAATTTAATGCGCAGTAAACTAATTCGAATAAAACTAATTCGCATTAAATTCTCCATGTGAACGCTAAGCGAAGCTAATTCACAGTAACTGTACGTTTATGTAACAGGTCATAAATTCGCATTAGTTTAATTCACATTATGGCACAATGCGCAGTAAATTAATGCGAAGTAAACTAATGCAAATCGAACTAATGCGAATTAAATTGCGTTCACACGACAGCTAATGCGAACTAAACTAATGCGAATTAAAAATTTACTTCGACAGTCAGTCGTGAGGAAGGCTATTATGACGTCATTTGCAAATCACGTCACCTTATGCAGAAGCGGATATGCATTTGACATAATGTCACAGTGTCTGGAGACATATTTTAGTGATTAACACATTTTTTCTTGATTTTTCACTCAAAAATAGCACAAATACTTAAAGCTGACCACCGACATGACGCATTTGACTTAATTTTGCCATTACGCATGCCCCAAAATTTAATTCGAATTAGCTTCGCTTAGCGATCACACGGAGCTAATGCGAAGTAATTTAATGCGCAGTAAACTAAGGCGAAGTAAACTAATTCGCATTAAATTCTCCGCGCTAAGCGATTAGTAAACTTGTTTATTCACTCTCCGTGTGATTAGTTTACTTTGCATTAATTAACTGCGAATTAAATTCTCCGTGTGAACAGGGCATCTGTGTCGTTTGTTGACTTGATATACCAGTGAACTTGAAATGAAAGACAACACAGAGTCTGCCCCATCTGCTTCATATTTGGATGTATTACTGAATATAGACAAAAGCCAATTAAAAAATAAATTGTATGAAAAACGAGTGACTTTAGCTTTTCCATCGTCAACTTACCTTATCTATGTAGAAATATTCCATTACAGCCTGCTTATGGTGTTAATGTCTACCAATGTATTCGCTCGTTAAGGACTTGCTATGAGTACATTAGAAATTAAAAAGCAATGCAGGCTACTCACTGTTAAATTGATATTACAGAGATTTCAACAGCCTCGTTTAAAGTCAGAATTTTGTTAATTCTATGGTCGTTATAATGACCTTGTTAGAAAAAAAATTATTATTTGGCTAACTTGTTTCATGCCGATTGTTAGCTATTTTTTAATGCTGGATTGACTACCGAATGTTCCGTCTACCTGATCAAAACAAAGGGCTCACGGCGGGTGTGATTGGTTAACAGGGGATGTTTACTCCTCCTATGCACTTGATCCCACCTCTGCCATTTTCAGGGTCCTCTTATACCCTCTTCACATATCTGTGTTGTTTATAGATTGGTTTATACATTTTTTGAGATCAATTTCTGTTTATTTTTTGCACCTCTTTCATGTCAGCAGTGACATGCTTTAACCTAGCAAAAAGGTTTTCACCTAGTTTCCACGTTCAATCTTTTGATTTCAACCAAACGTAAAATTTGACTGAACTGCTTAGTTTACCATGGAATAGCTGAAGTAATTTCTTTTGTAATACAGTTAAATTCATTTGTTGACTGTTAACATCTTTAGTAAGTAAAACATTCAAATATGAAACAGACTCTGTAGTGTATTATGAATTAAAATATAAATATTGTTTACTGAGACAAATGCTGACTGACGTTTTTCATACTAATTGTTAGTCCATTATTTATACACTGTTTTGACTACGGATTTTTCCGTTATTTCCTTATCATGACAAGGAGCACACGGCCGGTGTGACCGGTCGGCAGGGGATGCTCACTTCTCCATGGCACCTGATCCCACCTCTGATGTTTCCGAGGTCCGTGTATGCTCTGCTCCTATTTTGTATTGTTTTATGGACTTTGATATTGAATACTGTTCGTTATCTCCATATCCTTCCTTATCAATAAACCTTTGTCGATACATATATATCTAAATTTAAGTAGAAGACCACAGCTAGACTAGAGTTTTCATCTGTTTCAGTTGTGAAGGTTTTAGAATTGATTCTGCTTCATATCTTAGGAGAAGTTTATATAAAGGATTTTTGTAGATAGTTAAACGATTTTCACCCATGACCCTTTATCTTAAAAATGAAAACAAAAGATGATTTTGAGACTCAAACAGAAAATAATTAGTTATTTTTTTATATAATCTCACCGGAGTCCACAAGTTAAAAAGAGGTATAGGAAAGAAAATGTTCAAATTGGCAAGTATCTTCAGATTGGCAATGCTGCAATTTATGACAATGAAACAGAAAATGTTATTAATAGCACGTGAAACTATTTATGATTATTTTTCGTAAATGGTTGAAATCATAAATATTTTACCATGATTGTAATTTCAGATAATATCATCGCTTTTAAAAACCAAACCAAAACCGCCGTCATGTCATCAAAACTTAAGAAGCCACGTAGAGTATTTCTTTCTTTCTTTTTTATTTTGCGGTCTCCGAAGAAAAATGTTTCTTTCTTTTTTAACTGTCATTCATTTCTTGTACTATCCGATGAAAAATGTCTTCAACATATTTTTTGTTTTTTAAAGAGTTACATATCAGATCGATTTCTGACCAAAAAAAGTAGAGAAACTGAATTTTAACAGATAAATATCTTTTTAATATTAAGAAAATTATCTGATGGATTTGTGATTCATGTTTACCTCAAAACGCTGGTTTATCTGGATGTAGCTATTGCAAATCAATTTAAATCCTTCCTTCTGTTGATAACCTTTAGATCTGAATACCAAAATACTTTTCGCGCGAAGTATCCAGAAAATAATATTTTTCTTTGAAAGGTGGACGGTTAGACGCATCTGAATCTCTAGCTTCTGTGGAATGTTACAATCCACAGTCAAATACCTGGCGTGAGGTGGCTCCACTCAGTACCCCAAAGAGGTGTGTGGCTCTGGCCACGCTTCACGGCCGCTTGTACGCAGTAGGTGGCTCTGGTAAGTTTATGAAACATTAGATATCGATAATAATGAACAAAATTGCTATTCTGCATATAAAGGAATCAAATTTTCCACTTTGTCTAAAATTTCGATGAGAACTTGTCTGTAGGGGGCTGCAATTTTAGACCTGCACTCGACACTCGTGGCAATTGAGCAGTGAAGGTTTCTGGGACACAGGACTCACTCGAAAATGCCTTATATGAAGGAGCATTCTCCACGTCCCATAGCGGGATTCGAACCCGAGACCTATGGATCAACTTCGTAATTCGCGACTTAAGAGCAGACAAGTTAGATCTACAAGGCTTTGAACATTGAAAAGGATGGAAAGTGTTGAACGATTAAGAGCAATTGTACAATAATTTGCAGAACAAAAGGAAAGAAATAATAGAATAAACTAATAATGGGAATTTACAAAGATTAAAGTCGCCCTTATGGTAGAGCGGTTAGACTTTTTGCTCATGAGTCGCAGTGAAACGAGTTGCTATTACTGAGTTCCACTGTTTGGCGCGGAGACTGGTCCTTCGGATGAAACCGTATAAAGCAAGGCCTCGTATCGTAGAAGGTCCTGTCACGATAAAAATTTCTCACTACTCAAACAGGTCGGAGAGAATACTCGAAATCGGGTATTATCCGTGAAATCGCGTATAATACTCGATATTTAAGGAATCACTGTCTAGTTTTGAGAGTATAATCAACAATTGTGTGGGATAATTTGAATAACGGGCGAAGCCCGTTATGCTAAAATTATCCATTTTTTCCTACTTTTTTTGATGTCCCTGGCATACTCTCAAAACTAGACAGTGATTCCTTATATTTCCATTTCATTGTGAAATAAAATTGTAGATTTAGACTAAAAATGTAGACATAGAATTAAATCACACGAGGACCTCCATGCTAATTTCAATAGTCCTTGCCCACTGACGTCAAACACAAAGGCAGTCGCACGAGATTTACATGCATATTTCGCCTCCTTAGCATCAGACACAGAGACAGATGCGCACGAGATTTGCATGCATGTTAGGCCTCCTTAGCTCCTGACCTATCGACCTGTCTAATTTACATTCCGGCAGAATTATCAAGAAATAAACTCCGACAACTTTCAAAGAGTTATCACAGAGAAAAAAAATTAGAAATGGAAATATTAGGGTATCGTTGAATCCGCGAAATCGGGTATAGGAGGTGTAATCACCTAATAAAACTTAAACAATGGAATGGCGCATGTTGCCGAGTTAACTTTCATCTAGATACACATGTTTTCTAAAGGTATCACCAGCCAAGTAAGAATTTGGGCGTCAAGATTAATGCGCTCGGGACAACAAGTACCCGTGGAGCTCAGTACATTTCATGATCTGCACACAAAAAGGCGTTCGATTTGCTTTATATTTTTCCTTATGTTGAAAGTATATGCATCTTCCTAATGTTCATTCCCAACACAACAGAATTGTAAAGTATCAGAATTCGGGAATTTATAATAACTCCACATCAACACGACAAACATGAACAATTTGTAAATAAATCAAATTATACGGAAACACATTTCACACACCAGATATGATGCCATGTATAAACAAGGGATTGTCTATCGTATCTAATTATGCGTCATTTTTTACTTTCACATTCATCTTGTGCATAAAATCAAATTTATTTATGAATGTATAAATAATGTAATGATAAAAGATGTCTAAAATTTCGGCTAAAAGAGCCCTCTTTCTCTTTTTTTGAAAATCTTTTCTTTTTTATTTATCATTCAAACATATTTGCAGAATACAGTGTATGTCTTCAACATTTTAGCAGAGACAGTGATAGTTTCAGGAATACAGCTTAAGAGAGAACATTACTGTTGATCGTTTAATTTCGCTAAGTCATCAATATTTTACAATTTCTTGGCGACTTCAAAGGGGGAAGGGGGGAGGGGTGGAGCTAAAGGCTTCTTGACCACCTCTGACAAAACAACCTCGACTGTGTTCTACATGTGTCCAAGAGACCTCTCTTTGAATGTCACGGTCGGTTAAACTCGGTCATATATTTTTAATCGTAGGGAAGATTTATTCATCAAATAAAAATCATATACATTGTAGGTAAACAAAAAGCAACCTGTTATTTTCTAACACAATATAAGACTACAAGTAACTAGAATTCATGTTTATTTTTTAAACACATATTTTCATTATAGATGAGTATTAGGAAAAGTTATTGCCATGAGTAATACGTATCATAGATAAAATAACTAAAAGAAAACTGTGACATATTGTCTAGAACCAATCAGATAGTGCGTTGTATTAACATATTATAATGAGGTATAAGATAGCGATATAAAAAAAAATATAGAAGGTGAAGAGGTAAAATTTACTCTGTCTATCAAATAGTATAACAAAGAAAGGAAGTGGCTACGATTTTTATGAAATTTTAATGTCCGATGAGGAATTATACCCGGTATTCCCAAAAAGTAAGACAAGAGTTTCCAAGACAATTGAACACTCCATTATTTCAGTTTGTTCATTAACATGTTCATAAACGTAAAAACTATAAGAAATGTGAAAACTTGATTATGTAATTCATATTTCAATATGACTGTACCTCGATCTATACTGAGAAATTCAATGTATTATAAGCTCATGAAAAGATGTACACATCTGAATTTTTTTTATACCCCCCCCCCCCCAAAAAAAAAGAGAAAATCCTGTTCATATGACTTCTCGCTCTCAATTCTCACACAAATGCATAAAATAAATGTAAAATAGCATAACTTGTATCGATTAAAATGCAACCAAAAAAATTACGGTTCTTTGAATAAAAATTTCATGCTAAATTGACATAAAAAAAGATACTCACCTTCAATTAGCTATTTTCAAACTGTTTTCCCGTGGGTATTTATTTAATCTTATTTTATTTTCTTCTTTATAATAACGTCGGTATTCTATTATGGCAGAAATATACAATTATGACTCGCTTATACTGTACTCTCTAACTGTTAGGAATAATTTATATTTCACGATACATTTTTCAGTAAAAATACATAACACGGCGTTAGTCGTTTAATTTCTTTAAAATTTCACGTTTTGTGAATAGTGCACAAATCAGAAAATTAAGTATATGGAATACTTTAATGGGAAATAAAGACAAACGAAATGTAGTTATTTGTTTTTAGAAATTATATTGAAAAATAACGCCATTGTGTCCTCTTTATTACCCCAGCAGTGTTTGTCGTGTGATTTTAAAGTTATTTGACAACCGTATGAATTAGGTTTAATAAAAATAAATCCACAAGATACTGATGTACAAGTAACAGTTACTGGCATAATGCGCCGTTGCTTTATTCTTTAGTTTTTTATAGAAAGTTGCACGGAATACCCGATTTCGCGGATTCAACGATACCCTAATATCGAGTATAATACGCGATTTCACGGATAATACCCGATTTCGAGTATTCTCTCCGACCTGTCAAAGGCTCTAAGTGCTGAGTTCTGGTCTAAACCAGCCATCCACCGGCTTATAGGTGGCTTTTCAGTTTGATTAAAAATTTTCAATGGAAAGCTAAACAACCAAACATGAATTTGGTTTTCAAAAGGTTTAATTTATAAGATCTTTTATTGTTGGTCATTTATTCACACACACTATGTACTTTTCAAATTTTAAAGTCAATTAAGCCAAATAATGTATTTTAATGGTTTGTTTATTATTAGATTTACACTTCAGCACTCGTAGAGAAAGACCTACTGGAACTAATTCATATACTCACGATTTCTATTTCTTAATGAAACCCGTGACATGATTTATAAAAAAAGAAAATGTGAGATATTTTCCTATAAGATGTTACATTAAATAAATCCATTTTTTAGGAAACAAGATGATATCGAGTCGTGTGGAAAGTTATAATCCATATGATGGCAAATGGGAGATCAAACAACCTATATCAACCCCAAGATTTTTTGCTCATCTTGTTCCTGTAAGTGGGTTATTATTATTATTTGGTGGAGCAACAGTAAACCAAGATGGCGTCATAAGTTGCATGGATGCCATCGAAAGGTACACACCCTCTAGCGATTGCTGGACAGTTATTTCACACATGCGCACACCAAGAGCAGAATTCGGATGTGCTGTACTGGGATTCAAGATTTACATTGCAGGAGGTTATAACTGGGACAAAATGGAGAGGTTAAGATCCATAGAGTGTTTTGACTCGGATTCTCATACTTGGACCGAGCTAGATAAATGCCTTCCACTTGAACTCACCGGTCTTAGTTTGGCATGTATGAAAACATATAATGGGAACGACTTTTGAAACATCAGAAATAAATGCACTTGTCTCGTAATATCTTTTTGTATAAACAACTTTTAATAAAAATGTTTAAGATTATTTAGGATTTATCACTCCAAAACCACCTGGATACCCGGAGACTTTAAAATGATACTCCTTTTAAATTCGAAAAAAATGATACACAATTCATGTCGTATGTTGTGGTGAACACACGAGGATAGGTAAAAACGCCATAATAAAAATTGCTCTTGTATGGTAAACTGAATGCTGTCCAAAATAATTTGAATTCTTTAATAATGTCATATAAGTAGAAAAACATTTTAAGGCGTAAATAGAAGTAGATAATTAAAGTAAAGGTCTATTCCTCTTTTTTTTTTATATCCTTCTCATCTCCAACCCACTTTTTCCTTGAGTTGAGATATAATTTTTTGATTTAATAATTCATCAGGATTCTTCACCAAATCACTTAGAACAGTGAAGTTTGGCATACATGTACTTCATATACTGGTACATTTATTTTTTTATACTAACACTAAGAATTATTACTAATTTTCTGTCTAGTTTGGAATAGTGCTCACAAATGTGTATATATGACATACATGTATATGAAACATGCATGTATTTTTTTTATTGTTTGATGAGATTTTTTAAAACCGATTTACCACCTACTCATGATCTGAAGTAAGAATATCTGAAATATCTATATTTCATTTATGACATTTATTTATATCGCAGTTTGGAAAGAGAGTTTGGTCATTTGCAATATAATGAGGAATAATGTTGGATGTAAATAATGGTTTAACACAAAAGATCGGCTATAATCTGGCACATTTAACACTTACCTTTTCAATGTACTATCGTCATATACTATTGAAAAGGTTTTGTTCAATGGTGACGTTTTCCCATTCTTTATGCAAATGCAGAGCTTTCACATACCATTGTTCTCTTCGACAATGAGTATTAGCTGACCAGGAAGAAGATGTTACAAAATAATAATAAAATAAATAATAGACAAACACTACTTGTTTAATAATTACAACCATATATCACAGTAATATAGTACTGAAATGTAAAATGTTATTAGAGTAAATTGTTAATTATTTTGTTTTTGGGGCGAGTATAGTAATATCCACAGTGCTGCTGCTTTTAAAAATAGGTTAGAACATCAAATAATAAATAAATAATTCAGATGGAACAATAAAAAATTCTATAATGACTTTTGAAAGATGAAGGAATTATGAACAACAAAAGATCTCCTATTGATGTAATTATAATTTCTTTTGCTAAAGTATACTTTTTTGCATAGATTTTAAATTTTACTTTTTTTTCTCTATTTCCCCCTTTTTTCGTCTCCAGCGAAGCTTTCTATGGTATAACTTTGTAATCTCTACTCCTAATGAAACAGACCTTAAGGAAATTCCACCCTCCTATGATGTCATAGGTTTTTGCAAAAACTGTCATTAATTTAAATTCATACCCAATAGAACAATATCTTTTGGATTCAGAAAGAATGCTTTTCAATAGGTGCAATGATAAATATTGTTAAAGATTTTAAAAAATACACTTTTCAACATTTAATCCATTATTCAATCTTTGAAAATGTTGACAATGGCAACAACTCCTTCTCAGATCTCTTCATATAGGCATTTTCTTTATTGTACTTCTAATGTGAAATAGTTTCCCTGATATTCAAAATTCAAAAGTATCTTATAAATAGCATGTATTTCGGAACTTTCAACATCAGAATTATGCATTAGAACTAGTTTTTTTTTTATAATACTGTTTACACAATATGTACAATTTTTTCATGTAGACATATACTTCTGTTTATTTATGTCTCTGATCTAAATAATATGGCGACCTTTAAATTTTTTGCTAAAATTGGTAAATTTAAACAATACTATATGAAAATAGATATAGTTTTTGAACCATTAGATTTGTGAGGGTGAAAAAAAACTTAACATATACATGTATTTATGCTCCTTGAATTTTAATGAAGTATAAAACAGAGTTATGTATTTATATGTAACGGTAACGGTAATATTATAACAAGCCAATGCAGTAGTTGTACCCTTGGAGTAGATCTTATTGAAAACACTCAAGGTAAAACAAACGAATTTCATTTATGTTTTCTTTTTTCTTTTCTTCTTTTATGGGTGTTGCAATTAATACATTAGTACCACAATCGGAAACAAATCGATAATCTACAGGTTTTATGAGATCAGAGGGGAAATATGCTCAAAAATCCCTGTTTCAATCGGTTACATTCTGCCTGTGCCTCTTTTCATGATCTAGTAAACGGAGAATCCGTAATCAAGTCATGTGGAAATAATGCCATAACATTATGTATAAAAATGTACTGTGAAATCACTAATTTTCGTGGGGGTTTTATTTTCGTTGTTTTCGAGGTATCGAGAGACCCATAAATTCATGACCACCACGAAATGTAAAATTTCATATGCTCTACTACTCAACACTTCAACCACGAAATCAAATCCCCACATATCCATTATTTTTCCTCAAACCTTGAAAATTTCCCCCCACGAAAATATGTGATTTTACAGTAAGTAATGTATGACATAACCTAACAACAAATTAATCTGTTATTTTTATCGTTCTGCAACCCTTACCTATTTGAAAAGATTTCGTATGTTATATTATATATAATAATATATTTTTAATGCCTAGAACTAATAATATAGAAATATATAATTATTTCATTACAAACGATCATGTTTAAAATGCATTACACTCTTACACTCTTATAGTACTCTAAAAAGTACAAAGGAAGAGTGAATAGTAGGAAACATGAAGAACTATTTTTATCGAGAGTTATGACGAAATTATTTTTTCCCATCACGAAGTAAACCCATGCAAATAATTTGACGCTACTCTAGGCTGAAATTCGTAGAAGGCATGTATATCCAAAAATAACAACAAAACACCCAGGGCAGTTAAAGAAAACATATTCAAATACATATTGTTTCAACAAGAAGTAACAATACAAATCCGTTGTCTGATTTCGGAAAATAATACGTATTGGCAATTTCAAGAGCGATAAAACAAGTTCATGTTAATGAAATCTAAAGCATTCAGTTATAAGGCATTTTATAATTGCTTACAAAATAAAAAAAACAACATAACAAAGTAATATTGAAATCAAACACTATAAGTTACATATTAGATCAATTTCTTAGGCACGTCTCTCAGTATGTTCTGTATAGTTTTACATAAATCAATTATTGCCTACGAAACTCCGATGAAAATGCTAAGCTAGAAAGTTTACATTTTTTATTTAATTTGGAAGCTTTTGAAGGCAAAACGGGAAGTCTTAAAGTGATTCATTTTCACTCGAAGTAAAGTAGTCTCTTGTAAGAACGAGGAAAAGCTATCAGAATTTCGTAAGGTCAGTCCGTTAAATCTTCAATTGTACGCTCGTCATATACTTTGCAAGTGCATCCCGACTTTAACCTCATATAGTCCATTCGGTATGGTTGTGTAGTGTTATAATCCCTTACAATAGCATAAACATAGGTGTAGCTTTGAACACATTTAGAGCGCCTCATACTGTCGACGTACTGACAAGGTCGGTTTAAGACGCCGGCGGCACAAGAAGTCTCGTAAAACCTTTGAACTGTACGAGGGTCTCTGTATAATTTGAGTAGTCTCCCCTCCCTGGAGAGGCCACCAATGGGACTTATTTTTTGTGACACTGTCGGGCAGCAGTCTGCTAATCCACTATGTTGAGGGAGGGTATGATAAGCTCGCTTTCCTATTTCTTCGAATTCCCTGTAGAAAATAAAAATATTTTAGAACATGTTCTCTTGCATTTTTCTTAATTCATCGTTATGTCTAAAAATATCCCTTTTTGTGTTAATACGTGCATTCAACATTTGTAAGTCAGATTTGGATCCTCACATATTCTAAATAACTTTTGATATTAATGACAAGTGCTTCTTCAATAAAAATAGAACTAGGAAGAATTAAAATCTTGTGATTGGTCATCAGCAAACTTACTTCGTCAAAAGTCACTCTAATTATATACAAAGTACTTCGAGGTTGTTATTAAAAGGATGACGGATTTTCTCATTGACAACATTTATGTAGTTTTTGGAGACCAAGTTTTCCAACATTTTGTTGGATTCCCTACATTATACACCTTTATTAGCAGGCCTGTTTTTATATTCCTATGAAGCAGAATTTATTCAAAATACCTCTGTATGGGGAAAGTGAGAAAAACATTGCTGTGGTTTTCAACTCTACATTCAGATAAATATTTCGAAAAAGTTTTATCAATAACAGTATTTTCCAATTTTGAATGTCGACCCGAGAAACACCACAGTTTCTACCACATCTTTCTCATATTGAATATATTTTATTCATATTTGAATGCTTTGTTGACTAAAGACGAAAAAGGCCAAGTAACAACTAGATTATATGACAAACGAAATGACCATCTTTTCCATCGTCAGCTTTCCTTATTTGTTTAGTAATACTTCGCTTTCACCTGCATATCGTATTTATGTCTTTCAAATTATACTAAAAAACAATCATGCTTTGTATGATAAATTTTTAATCCAAGGGAGGCTACTTACACACAAGTTGATGTTACAGGGACTTTAACAACCTCATTTAAAATGAGCATTTTGTAAATGCAATGTTCTTTATAATGACCTTATTTGCAAATATAGCCAACACTGGATCGTATTTTGGCTGACTTTTTTCAAATGAATTGTTAGGCCTTTGTTCTGTGCTAAATTTTAAGACGGAATATTCCGTCTTAATCATCAACACATAGAGTTCACGGCGGGTGGACCGGTCGACGACAGTGGATGTTTACTCCTTCTGGGCACCTGATCCCGTCTCCGGAATTTTCATGGGGTCCGTGGTTGTGTTATTTCACATATTTGTATTGTTTGAAGTTTTTATGATATCGATCACTGTTCATTATCTTCACCCATTATTGTATATATATATGTATTTATAAAACAAGAATATGCTTAGCTTTATAATTTTTTTTTTTATAAAAATCCCGCCTATATTAGATAATTACCAAAATGTTTTTTGATAAACTTAATTAAACATACATTTTTCGATAATTTTAGGTCTTTTAATTTAAAAACATAAAAGCTTTAGAAATTGCTTTTAAAAAAGATCTCTGATGCCATGTTCAAATCCCCCTTTAAAGGAGCACGTTTTATAGCGTATAAAACTTAAAGGGACCAAGTCATCTTAATCGTAGTTCTCTATAAAAGGCAACATTTTATATAAAAAAAACAACAATGTAATTGAATTAACCCAGTAACGGCAACTCTTCTTTTATCATTAATCCTTAATGACAATTGAAAAGAAATATCGTTATAGAAACTTCAAAACTGTCGTTGTATGGTGCACAAATTTCGAATTTCAAAATTTAAATCAACTTACTGAAACAACTTTTAATTTGCATTTTAAAAATGCCGTGATATGAAGCATATGGAGATAACAAATATAGTATTCAAGATCAAATTCCATAAAACAATATAAAATAGGAGCAGAGCAAACACGGACCTCCAAAACAGCAGAGGTGGGATCAGGTGTCATGGAGGAGTGAGCATCCCCTGCCGATCGGTCACACCCACCTTGTGATACGAATTTCAAATATGCAAACCGTTTTATATAAATCTTGATAGTGTTATCAAACTATCGCTTAGTATGAACCAATTTTTGGCCATGAAAAAAGAGTTTTGCAGGGAAGAACTTGCATACAATATGTTCAAAAAGCTAATTTGCTTTTTACTGGATGGCTGCGTTCTATAATTTGCGTCACCATTTACATAACTGAAAGTAATATTTGACAAAAAGGACACAATGATAATATTTTTTGTGCCCACGTAAAGCAAAAAGGAGACAACGTCATAATGGATTGGTCACTTCATTCCACACTCACAAAACTGAAGATACAATAGATATTCCGAAAGCTGGTTTGAATATCCGGTGTAATTACGCTAATTGGATAAATGTACAAAGGACACTGTGTATGATCGAGTTGATACTCGGCAATTATATCTCTGAATTACATGATCAGCTGACCATGTTTGGTAGATATAGAGGATTCAATTGACGCAGTTGCTATTAGCCTATATCAATATTATATGGGAAATTTTTAGCTTCATCGGATTTATAAAAATTCACTATTGATAAACTACGAAATTGAAATACCCTTTCGATAGGTGAAATTATTAATCAATTAACGTTCCAACATTACTTTCCTTATTTCTAATTTCCTTTACATTAATAAAAAAAAAAATATGACAATCCTTTTATCTGCAAACTTTAAACTTGTGACAATAGATAAAATCTGACGTGACGATGAGAAACTTGGCAATTAGAACTCGTCACGAAATCATTGATCTTTTTTATTATCAGAATGCTCAATTTTTGGCTTTTCCTATTTTTATTTCTAATTTTTTTAATGAAATATTTCGAAATAATTAATTTATATTTAATTATACTATGAACGTTAAATAATTATTTTCTAATAAAGATTTCTCAAACTCGGAAGATGAAATATATGGAAATAACGAATATATTCAAACTAAAAAGTCCATTAAACAATATAAATTGTAAACAGAGCCAACACGGACCTCCAAAACATTTAGAGGTGGGATCAGATGCATAGAGGAGTGAGCATTCCCTGCCGCCCGGTCACACCCACCGTGTGCTCCTTTTCATGATCAGGAAACAACGGAGAAATCTGTGGACAATTCAATGCGTATATAATAGCCTAATAATAAGTATGACAGCATTTGACTTAATGATAGATATATTTGCTGACAAGGTCATTGTATCGACCACAGAAATTACGAAATGATGACTTTGAACGAGACTGCTGATATTCTTGATTCAGTAATTTGTTTGTCAATAACTTACTTCGTTTTAGAAATTGTTCATACGTAGAGCATACGTTTGCATATCGAATCAACTGAGAGATATAAATCCCAGATGCAGGTGATAAGGGTTTAATGCTGTAAAACTAAGGGAAACTCACGATTGAAAAGTTGAAGTCATCACGTATATCATAAAGCTTGGTTGAAGTTGAAAAGATCTAAATATGAAACAGATGTGTCAAACTCTGTGGTATCTTTTATTTCAAGCTCACTGGGATATATCGTATCGACATAAGAATGGAAATTGTTAATTAACAATATATGTCGTCGATATACCTAAATGTTTTAATAAAATGAACACAAGATTGCTTTAACAGAACATTTTATACATACTTATACAAATATTTTTGTGAAACAAATTGTGTATGTAAAGCTCGTTCAATTTCAACTAAGTAAACAAACATGTATGCATATTCCTACGGCCTTATGAGTGCATTTCCCTCCAATCTAAACCTGTGTGAAACGATTTGATTTATATTGAGAATTTCATTACTTTTTCAACGGAATGGGGAGAAAAGAGTCAGTGTTCAATTTTATAAATTCACGGCAAATTACGAATAGTGGACAGGGTTAAAACACGGTAACAAAAAGCATTAAAGTGGGATCAGGGGGAACATCTTTCCACCCGTCATACTTGACGTGGATCTGGTATAAAACATGATCTAACACTTAATGGAAAATACGACCAAACAAAAGGTTCTATTTACATACAAGATCAATTAAATTTGCAAAATGCTGACATAAAAGATGATAGTTGAAATACATGTAACATCAACTTATGTGTCAGTGTCCTTTCTCTCTTAAAATTAATAGACCCCAAAACATGTTCTTATTTATCGAATCGGTTTGTAGATATAAACGCCTGATGCAGATGAACATGGCATTTTGATAAACCTACAGGTATAGTGGAAGTTGCAGTGACAATTAAAAAGTTGGATTCATCCTATTTGTCAAACAGATTAGTAGTTTAGTGGATAGTTTGTCATTAACGTTTATAGTACATATATGTAAAAATCCAAGTATAGAGCAGATGTTACAGATTATTTTTGTCCTTTATTTCAAGTTCACATGGATACATCGAGTCCGTACGTGAATGAGAATTGATAGCCATTTTTAACAGATAAAACTTCGTCAATTATCGAAAGTTGAAAACCACAGCAAGTATTTGACCTTACTTTGTGAAAGTTTTTAAAATATAATGTATGCTTTATAGGTATAAGAATATCCTAATCGGTAATTAATAATCACAACTGTGTTCATTTCAATTCCAATAGCTTGTTGCCAAAAAATACACATAAATACTTTACTTTTGGACGGCGATTCGGGTTTGTTAAAAAGTCTGGAAATAGGCCAGATTTTATACATTGATATGCAAAATGATTACCATTTGCCTATTTCAATTTTATATGTATTATATGCAGGACACATATTTACGACCAAAAGAATATAGCCCGTCTTCTGTCATATGCATTTTTTTTACCCGATATCAAAGATAATTTTGTAAATATATATACTAGTTTCATTCAGTCTGACTAAAGCCAGCCCCTACTATATCACTTCTAACGAAGTGATATAGTAGGGGCTGGCTTTAGTCAGACTGTAGTTTCATTGGTATTGAACTTTCAAGTGAATTGTCAGAAAGAAAAAAAAATCACCTTTCTTCCCATAGGATTGCTCTAAGTAAATTTGCCTGGTTCTGAATTGGATTCGGTTCGTCTTCAGTTTGTGCTTTTATCATAATGCTGATTGTCCACATTGTGATCTAGAAATTTTATTAAAATGAATCAAACACATTTAGAAAAATTTCCAAACTAAAATCATCATGTTTGTTGATTGATTGAGAGAGAGAGAGAGAGAGAGAGAGAGAGAGAAAGAGAGAGATCTTGGTTTCTTACCCATATTGACGTGATAACATGCATAATTTCAACATTGGTGATTTTGTTGTGGGTGGGTGGTAATCGCGGAAGCTGAAAAATATTCAAAGGTTTAAAATTAATTGAACACATAAGCTTTGTGTACTCAATAAATTACACTGGAGAGTAACTAATAATTCTCTTTGGTGTGCCAGAGCAACACTGAGAGATCACATTACCAGTAGTTTTTAGTATTTAAGCACATGCTGTATGTCAAAAGTTTTCACAAAACATTCACGAATTAATCTAAATGTTTTTAATCGATTATAAATATTATCTCTATGCTCCCAAAATAGGACTACGCGATACAATTCAAATTAAAATCAAAGGGATGAGGGTCGTTAACGGTATCGAAAAGATACTCCCCTATTTGTTTTCCCCTCCTAACAAATCGGCTTATTTATTTATTGCAATATTAAAACTAGCTCCAAAAGTAACTCAAATATGAAAAACAATTATTTTATGTGGTTTTGAAAATACATATAGATAAATAAATGCTTTAGAAATAAAATCAACCATCAGTCACAGTTATAACATACATTAGCAACAGTTAGAGTTGGAATACGTGACAAACTTATCCGATTTTTCAAAACAAAAAAAAAAAGAAAGAAAAAACATTTATCAATTTGAAAAAAAAGAAAATCTAATTTTCACCTAAAAAGCAAAAAAAAAAAAAAATACATTAAAAAATATGAACTATTAAATCCAAATAGAAACATTTAGATTGCAATAAAAGTCACCAAGTGTTAATTACAACAAATTGATACTTTTTTTAAAGAAATCAAATGTATAGGAAATCGCATGGTGCATTTATTTTAAACGTGGAACTAAACATTTCGATTCGTTTTCAAAACAAGGAAATGGATAAGAAACTAACATTTCCTATCATGTGTACATCTGGTATCATTCCTAAAATGAAGTGAGCATAATCATATATTTAGCAATAAACAATTTAAAAGTAAAGTTCAATTATTATTTTCTTCCAATACCTGAAATAGTACAGGTATGGCTAGTATTCTGAATTGTACGATTTCCCGAGGGGATTCTTGTCCCATTTCTCTAATTAGCTTCCTCAATATGACGACTTCTGAAGCACAGTCGATCTTTGATCTACTTTACAATGAAGATAATTCAGATCTTCACTTTCTTTATTTAGAATGACTGTGACAGTCCTTGTTGGAGATGGAAATGCTGTTGTTTACAATCTGTTTTTATACAAATAATTTTTTTAAGAAGATGCTTTTCTTACCTTTTATATTTTATTACTATTCCAATTTCGTGCTTCTTAGAAAAATTTATACTATATTTCTCGCATACGATAAATAGTTCCTAAACTGTTATTATGTCCAAATGATTTGAATAAAGCTTCTCCATGATTTCAGCCTCTTACAGTCCTCACTTCGACACTCCACCCCTTTTGTGACGGTGATGCGATACGGTGTTTTGAAAACGTTGTGGTATTTATACTGTAATTTTATCGCGTTGGCGAGATTTATAACCAATAACTTGATCAGCTTTCTATTATAAAGTCTGTGCTTTACTGGGCTTTTTTTTTCCTCCATCCAATTAGCCAACAAGCCATGACTCAATATACTGTCGCTAATACGTGGTCAGTTATACCCAAAATTATGCAATCGAGCCAATATTTAGCCAGAGTGTTTCAAACATCTTTTAGTTTCCTAACAGACCTTTAAGCTTTAATCATCTCTAAAGATTTTTTTGGCAAGTGAAATTGATCAGTTTAACGGTATTATATATCAATAGCAATATTTTACGATTCGGAGGATTTTTGCGAAAAACAATGAGCAAACTAAATCATTTGTCATCACCAAAGCAGTCAATGAAATAACAATCAGCTTTGATTTACCAATTAGGCAATGTAAAGCGCAAAAACGATAAGAGTAACACAATATTCTTGTGCTTATGTCAAAAGCATCTTGAAACTTCTTCAATTCATATTATATTTAAATGTCTTTTTCTGCTGGCAAAGATATTTCATCAAAATGCACATATTCAGCTTTGTCCGAAGTTAGGCAATATATCTCCAAGTGTTTGCTCTATCAAGAGTTTAACTCGTACGGAAGAAGAAGAAGAACAGCTCAACATGTCAATAAGGCCAATAGAACACCCTGAACTGTTTCCAGCATCTTCGAAAACATATTCTCGTCTACTGACTGACCAGACATGGTATAACTGTATACTCTTATAGCTTTTTCAGTCATATTGTAAAATTGGTTTCCAACGTCTGATGCATTCTATAAAATAATTCGAAAGTTGTGTTTAAATTGTATTTTTTTTTTTTACTAGAAAGCGATTGTTTAATTGATGTTTTTATGAACTTTTGTTTGATTTCACTATTGTTCGCTTAGCAGTATTACTTGTACACATGTATATAAAATATTGCAGTATTCATTGCCGCTTCTTCATTGGACCTGTAAAATCAAGAAATAAGCAAACTCAAAAAAAAAATTTTCAATTATGAAAATTAAATCATCATTATCATCATCATTATCATCGTCACCACTCTAACACTAAATGTAACAAGGCTACGAGTGGTGGTATCAGTTCGATTAAATTTGATCGTTTTATGTCAAAAGCAAGGTCATTACCTTTTCGCTGGACATTAAGACTAAAAAAATTACTGTTGCCAATCATGCGATGCCTACATCTAGTTCCAATGATTAGATATTTTTCCTTTTTGCACAAAACGATGATACGATGACACAGGGTCTTTCAGAAGATATTACCAAATTAACATAAATAATTTAACTAAAACGGACATTGGCAAATCCGAATTTACCCATTTTTTTCTCACATTTTTAGGATATATTGGTTATATGATGTGCTTCATATATTTATTTTTTCTTAATTTTATATATATGATAATTTTGTAACATAAAGATACAAAATGACAAAAACAAGTTTTGATAGTTTACTTTTTACGGATTTTACGGATTTTTGGCCCCAGGGTGTATTTAGATTGGAATCTTACAAAAAAACTAATATAATTGTTGTCTGTTTGCAAAATCCTATTTATTTTATATATTTTAAAACCTTAGTCCCTTATTAATAATTTAACTTACATTTGAAAATTTCTTCAGGTCTTTAATTGTGTAAAGATTATAACTAAATTTATTGATCTATAATAAGTTTGAAAGGCAGAAAAGATATTTTCATACGCCACATTCCGCCAAAAATATAGTCCTTGCTAGATTTCAAACTCAGTTTACCATTTCTATTTAAATTTGTGCAATTGTAATGAGGAGAGAAAAAAAAATGATCTTTTAAATCTCTTACATCTAAATATATATGACATATGAGCAAATTTAATCTGAATATTTCATCTAGTCAGAAACCAGACAAGAACCCTTCCTTAATGTGTATTGCGAGCCATTTGGAAAGTACCGATTGTGACGTCACATCTCGTTGTAAGTACGTTATATTGTATTTCCATAATGAAGTCAAAATAGTGCCAATTTTTCCTTGATACAAGAAAAAAGTAAAATATAAAGATAAGATACCAATTTTAGAGTTTCATTTGGATATGACATGAAGTTTTTACGTTATCAAATCTTTCGGGCGTTGTAGAATTAGATCACGTGACCGACTTCATTTACTCTAAAAATGATATCTTATTATTTAAGCATTTATTTTTAGACAACGATAATTTGTGCAGTAAGGATATGTGCATATTGATATTGTCAGCCATCTTTGGAAAAAAGCTTGTCCTCTCCCGACCAACTAGCTGAAAATGGGCCGAGTCAAAAAAAATTTTGTCTTCCAGGAAAATAATACTTTTTTTTTTAAATTTATTTTCCTGAAGTATAATGATTTTTTTTAAATCCCCACATACCTACAGACCCAAATCTATTACTCTGAGTCGGAGAAGGCAAATGGTATTTTAAAATGACCTTACAATAATGGGTGCAAACCATATTATGAGTTGTCCTAGTATTTTCATAAGGTTAATCGAACGTTGACACTTTATTAAACTAAAGCCTACGAATGTCGACTTTTGTTTATTATGATATATAGTTTAATATAAATAAATAACTTAATAGGAAATATATATATATTGGAAATAAATATATTTCCAGAGTATTGCCAAAATGATTAAAAGTAAGTTTTAAATTAAGAAGATAAGAAATAAGTAATATTCAAATTTAAAATTCATTACTTATTTTCAAAGCAAGTGAAGATTGTTACAAAAGACAGGCCAGTTATTATAAAATATATAAAATACCGCTACTTTTGAAAAAAAAAAGTTCTGATGAAGTCAGAGCAACAAAGTAATTTAATCCTTACATTTTGAAGTTCAAAAATCAAAATTTGTGAGTTTGGACAGAAAGCATTTTAATAATTGGCTTTAAAATCAATCAGGTTAATTATAAATTAATTTTGACATTTCAATTTCCTTCTCGAATTTCTATTTCTGATGACGGTTAAAATATTTTGCTGGAGGCAATGTTTCATCGTTCGGTATATTGTAAAGACACCCTAAAAGTACACTGTACTAGAAACAGAGACACTCCCCATTCCCAATAAACTGACTGATTTAACGTTGCTTCCGCTAAAGATGAAAAAACCCACCTCATATTTATTGGGACACATATCGAATCAAAGATAAATTTATACAATGTTGGTAGAATTAAAAAAAATGGATTTTTTTTTTCAAAAGATTTTTTTTTTAAATATACTGCTAATTCCTTTCTATTCGCGACAACTTTATTTCGCATAATTACGAGGGTTGTCCGGTAAAATCGTGGACAAATCGTTTTTCTCGTAATGGACGCACTTAGCTGAAATTTTCAGTAAATGTTAATTTATCATACTTAAGTGCATCATAATTTTTTTTTTGGTAATCTATAGACAATAGTAAAGATTTTATTATGCTTGCATGTGCACAAGGTACGGTCCCACGGCACACAGTCAAAAAAGCAAGGTTTGATTAGAGAATACACAAATATTTATTCGAAATAAACGTTTTAAATATATAAGATTGGGATAAAAATATCCTTATTCGTATATTTTTTTATCTTTTTAAATTTTCAGAATTTGGTTCAAAAATAATTAAAAGAGCTGGTAAACGCAACACACGAAAAATGGCGACGTTTGATTACGTTACGGCGCACCGGTTAGCAGTTCAGTTTAATTCAAAGATTGCATTGTCACCTTATTAAGAGACTTTATATGAATACAGAAGAAAAAAAATATGAAAATTTTAGTATACAAATGAAATGGGAGTTTTCTTAGCGAAGTCCTTTTTAATCGAGTCCCCGGGTTGTACAAAACATACGGACGAACTGATATTGTAATAGCAAAAGACTCTGTCACTGCCGACCGTCGATATAAGATTGTCTATAAATTGAATGATGGTGAGAATATTGTTCATAACTTTTAAATCTTCAAAAGATCATATGTGTGCCAGATTGGAACTGTTTATGTAGACTCAAGTATGTGCATCAAAAATTCCTAAAGTTAAGTGTTTTTCCTCTTTATTTTTTACAAAGATGAAAACTGTTTGTTTTTGTATCATTTTGTATCTTTATGTGACAACTTTACCATACCTGTATGTGAAAATAAGACAAATTTAAATATAGGAAACATAAAAAATTATTAATATATTCATAAAATTTATAGAAAGAGCATTAGAAACAATGATTATTTTTGAATTATTTATGTCAATTTTACCGGTAATATCATCTCATAGGCCCTATATGTGCCCGAAAATTTTTTTCTATGCAAAATAAAAGTATTCATTAAAATTCTTTAAGAGAAAAATCACAATTCATTATACTTTTATCAGTATTTCTTTGTCAATAATATCCATGGAAAAGGTAATGACCTTGACCTGAAATTTAATAATATAAAAATTTGAAAATTGAATTTCAGATTAAAATAATAGTGATATTAAGTCATATCTTGATTTTGTGAAAATTTCATTAATTTTTAAATGAAATATGAGAAGAATCCTACCTTATGAATGAAATGCTGAATTTTGTATAAATTGAATTTGAAATCTTTTCTCTTTGAATTTAAATTTGATAAAGTAATTACTGTCTATTGTTTGTAATTAATGTTTTATATTATAAGTTCATTTATTGGGAAATTGTAGTGGAGCTTATGTAAAGAGTCCCTATCAAGTGACAGGACGTTATACCAATAATAAAAGGTGACAGTAAATATTAAAAAAAAATACACTAAAAAATTAAATGCTTTTTTGATCTATCTTTAAAAAAAACACACTTTAGCAAATCATTGGGTTTACAAATTGTGTATTTACGTGTATCATCTTTAAAACAGTATGGCCTTTGTTCTTATACTACATGTTAATTTAATTAGGAAATGTAAGGGGGTCATTTATCTGATCCATACATAACCTGGGCCCGGTTAAACATACTTAAGGTGGGTTTTCTAAAATCCAAAATTCTCGATCCTTAAACATAGAATGTTTACTCCTAGTTGAGATTTTTTTTTTGAGAATTCTCAAAGTTTTATGATGGCGGACCCTGACCCCCCTCTTGAAAATCTGGGGGTTTTTGTTTTATATGCCATGTTCTAAAATTTGTATTAATTGTAGATTTTTTGC